TTATGCTGCAAAGCTACAGCCTGCCCACAACAGGCCACGGGTAGGAGGTTTGCAGTCACGCTTCTCACTCCTTTCTTTTACAAACCCTGCAGTGCTGTAGGGTGCACATGTCCCTGTTTGTACAAAGTCCTCTTTGGATGCTCAGCTGTAAACATTATAGTGACATGGCAGCTGGGTTGAACACCATGGATGACATGATCCAGCTTAAAAGCACACAGGCTAAAGAAAGGAAGGACTGAAGGGCAGCAATAGGGAAACCTCATTCTTACTGTAGTGAGATGTGATAGCTACAGAACTGGGGGACTGAAGATGCTCCCATCCACAACAGCAAGGCTGCCTTTGCATGGCTTTAGATAGCTGAAACTAAAGAGAGATTTTTATGTTGCAGAGGAAGTGATGAAATTCTTGTAAGCCACTCTTCCTTTTCAGAGAAATACACTGCCCAGCAGCTGAAGGGCTGGGCTAGATGTGACCCCTCTGGGGACAAAACCTATTCCCCTCTGCAGACTTAGTGTCTCCTTCTTATTTTCCAGTGAACAACTACATGGAGTCCAAGTGTGAAACCATGCTTCAAGAAATGCGGAAGTGCTGTGCCCAGTACCCCAAGGGCAGATCCATCTGTTGTTCAGGGTTTGGGAAAGAAGAAAGGGAGAGAGAAAAGTTCAAGGCAACTTCAGAAGGAATCCCCCCACCACCTCAGTAACACAATGCAGCTCCAGCAGGCGCTGGAGCACGGACTCACCTGCAGAGTTCGTGTGTGTTTTTTCAAGCTTTCTTTAGACTTTCAGGAAAGCCAGATCGCTCCTAGAACACACCATGCGGCACACCAAAAAGTATAACGCAGTACCAACAGATGGCCTGGTTAACAGACTTTATTTTCTGTACCAAAACATCATCTACATTGTCTGCATCGCACCTGTGTCTGTGAAAAGTCAACTTGATGTTTTTTTAGAATGCTTACCTTACTCTAATGCATCCTTGCTCTCAAAATGGAGAACAGGAACCAAGTTATTCTGGCTTCTAGAGCAAGAGGTACAGGAAATGAGCTCAGAAGAGTGAGTGAGTTTAAGCGTGACATAAAATAAGCCCATCTTGACACAACAAAGGTATTGCTGCCATCATGCAGTAGTTCCAGACAACTTTTGCCTGTCCAGTGGTTCAAGCTCAAGAATGGGAATCAGGTCTGGGGATTGTTCATAGGTCTTGCATAGATCACAAGTGACTAGAAGTCACTTTGCCCAAGTGCCTCACTTTCCCACTGGATAGAGTTTTGGTTACTTTATATTTGAATTGTCTACACGCTGCTATTTGCATGACAAAGATGTTACAGGAACATTATTTCAGGGATTGCTATAGGAATAGGTTTTTTAAAAAAAAGCAATATTCATTTGAAAGATCTGACTGTTGATATAAAATTTATAAATTTATGTGTAATTGAACACCTTTAAGCAATATGTTATGAACCCAGCGTAGTTCAACCCGCTGGTACCCAGAGGCCTGCCACAAAGCCCCAGGCTAGATCCAAGAACTGATTTAGGTGCTGCTTACAGAACAAGCAGTTGTAGACACTTGCTTTCAACACAGCATTCCAGACTCACTCACAGGCCGTCTGTGTCTGGACCCCAGGGAGAGATGGCTTTTCAGAAGCTCTCACCCATGCAGCAGAATTTCCTGTGACCTGTAGGAAGAGCTCAGTAGACAGGTTCCTGCATCACCCTTCAGAGCTGCCCAAGTCTCTCCGTCCCCTGTTAGCAGGAGTCCAGGCACCTCAGTGGGTGCCAAGTCCATTACAGGGCCTAGGCACCTAAATATCAGACTTCGAACCCACTAGGCCCCTAACTCTGTCATTAGATCTAGCCGTAAAGGACTTTTGTGCTGTGATCAAGTACAACTTACTTATGAAATACAGCTTCTATAAATAGACCGCTGTAGTCTAGGCACAATAGTTGAGTGTACTGAAGCCTAGAAGAGCAAACCATCTGTATTCACTGCTCAGAAATACCATGATACAAAATAAATGACTGGAACAAATTGTAGTCTCAGTTTGGCTATTTATTGAGAATACAACATAGCTGCAAGCTGGGCAGCTTGGCTGCCATTCACAGTCCAGAGCTACATGTGATCTCATCGTGTTTAAATAGAAGCTGCTTGATATTTTTATAGCCAAGGCTCAAGATCAGACTAATTCAGGGCTAGCCTTCCCCTCCCACCCCCATCCTCCCCAAAAAATCCCTAAGACAAAGTAAGGGGTTTAGTATTCTTGGAAAGTAGGAGAAAGTGATGCTTCGCAAGGTTGTGAAGCAGCTCAAACACTTGACAAGTAGCTCATTTTTACCTTTTGCCCTATCTGAGCAGGAGCAGTGGAAAGTAAGTCACTGATAGATGACAAAAAAAATAAGTATTAGGCACCTATTAAAAAGAAAAGCCTCATCTCCATACCCATTTCTACTCGGGTGGAGAAAACTTGCTCAGCATGAAGGCTCTGAAGCCAGACTGGCAGAATAACCTCCAGCGCCAGAAGCATCCCACCTTTTGAGAACATGGGTGATTGGTGCCAGGATCATCAAGGAGAGGAATTTATTAAGGTAGCCCATGGTTACCTGCAGAGAAGAGGAAAGGCTGGTGGTCTCATGCTACCAGACTCGCTGTAACTGCTCCCACGAGTCAAACTCAACATGCAGGGTAAGACAAACCCATGCTGGTTCCAAGAAGTCAGACCTCACACATAGAAGCTATTAGAGCAAAACTGTTTTAATAAAATATCACTTCAACAAGCATTTACATACAATCTATAAAAACACTTTAAAAGCCTAGTGTGTTTTAAACCTTCTCGCACTGGAACAGATGCCAGAAGCTGTTGAAACAAGACCAAAAGGAGCAGGGGCCGGGGGGGGGTGAGGGGAGGAACAGTTCAACATTGTTGCACCTGCAGCAATGAGAACACATACCCCCAGAGGTTGATTCAGCATCAAAGCTTCCAGTGTGGGCCCACAGCATCTAACAGTGCCAGCCACAAGCCCAACACTGGCACAGCAGAAAGATTTGCCAGATCCTGATGTCCACTCCCTGCCTGCATTCACATGAAACTCAACATGAATTTGTCACTTGTATCCCATTCCAGCAGCAATTGAGGCATTTTATCTCCCTCTCTGGGCCTGTAACAGCAAGTCGGGACCCTGTGGAGCAGAACGCAGTACACTCTTCCCTGGAGCTGGGCAGAAACAGTGACTTATCTGAGCTTGAAAAAACATCTGTAAGGTCTGTTAATGATTTACTTTGAACTTTATCATTGGAGAAAGCTTTGTGGAGCTTCTCAGAAGTTGTGTTATGCAGCACACCAGACAGAGGGGCAGCAACACTTGTTTTCTACAGGAACAAGAGATACCTTGCAGTATCAATTCATGGACATTCAGCCCTGCAGGGTTCCTACAAAAAAAAAAAAAACAAAAAACCACACACAAAAAACCAAAAAACCACAAAACCAAAACCCAAACCCACCACCATCATCTGTCACTCCACTCCCAAATACCAATTTACTGAAGACCTATTTGCTGCATCACATCACTCCTGGATGGCTTTTAGGAAGACCATCATTAAAAGGACATGAGCCCAGCTGCTCCTTCACTTTCCTTGGGCCATGTATGGCAGGGCAGGAGCAAAGATACCAACTTCTGTTTCCTGATTACCTGCAGCCTCTTTTCAGATCCCAAAGGTGAGAAAACCTCAGCTAAATCAATGTTTTGCTACACTGACACCTCAATCAACAGAGCCGAAACAAAATTAATAACTGCAAGTGCTCATCCCAAAACTTCTGGTGGAATAACCCACCGTTCCAGCTCTTTCAGCAGCTCTTGGGGGAAGATCCCCACTTCTAGCTACACTGAGAGCAGCAGTGGATGATCAGAAAGGCATTACACCGCACTGGAGATAGGGTGCAGCCACTGAGCCAGGTGCTGCATCCCAATCACCCATGCACATCATCATTCCCTAGCATGTTTCCCATTGAAGGCTGACTTAAAAAAAACATTCTTGGCAAGAACTCCTACATGTACCTGATGCAGGACATCACCCCACTGTCATTCATGTCCCTGCACTCTGGAAAGCGGTAATGCCAATACAGCACAGCCAATGCAGAACACCTCTAAGGAATTATTTTTTTTTTTGTGTGATTTTTCTCTTATAGAGTTCTACTCTGCTCACAGCTGCACTGGGACAGAACGTCCAAAAACAGCTGAGCTACCTCATCACCTGCAGGAGAGGGGCTGCAGCTGATGGAATTAAGCAAGCAGCTTTTTTCGTGGAAATGGTAAACAAAAAAGGAAGGAACATAACCAAGAGGGAAGTATGGAAATTACCCACTCCCACAAGAGCACAACCTGGTTTTCCCAAGTGTCATCATTTCAGTTGCTTGCAGAGACCAGGGACATGGAGTTTGTGCTTTGTAGAGGCAGGTAGAGGACTACACTCCAGATTTCACATCCTCCCCCGCCACCACCCCAGTAGAGCTGGCAACAGGGACCCTGGACCAGTAGAATGTACCCTACAGGGATGCATTTCGTGTCTACAGTCCTGTCCCACGTGGTTACAGCTCTAAGAGCATAGCCAAAGCGGCCAGAAAAGGTCATGGCAGACCTAGAAACACCAGTCTAGGCCCAAGGTGATTTACAGTAAATGGCCAGCTAGCCTGACACAGACAAGTCAAGCACGCTGGAAGCCTGCCTGCCACAAGGGTGCGCCTCAGCACATTTCAAAGGCTGAGCAGTCAGCTAGCAAGCAAGAAAGGTGCTCTACAGTGCAGGAAGCTTGGTGAATTTCAGAACACACGATGAGGAAAGGGCCTGGAGAGTCACCCACAGTGCTCAGTTTCCATCAGCAGTGCCAGTGCTGCAATTCCAGTAAGGGGTATAAATAGCAGCAGAAGAGAACCCGAACAGCCATCCATCTATGTGCAGTGCAATGGCAGGGAGAGGGCAGGAGAACCCCCAGCACCATACAGAGCATGAACTTGTTCCTTATCCACCTGTCCTGGACACAGCCCAGGGTGTCCCTTAACAATTCTCCATCCACCCAGGACAGCCAAGGACATTTTAAACTGCACACACCATCTCTGTGCAGAAGGAATCACAGGCTTTCCAAGTACCAGGGCAGAAAAAGTGCAAGCTAAATATCAGTGAACAGCTCACAGCAGTTGTACACGTATACTGGCAGACAAATGTACATGTAACAGCCCTGACCACCTGGGAAGAAGAGCATTTAAGATATTTCTCTGCTACTGCATGTTTATGAGGCTGCAACTCATCAGAAACTTTGGGACTGGGCATATTTGGTGGGAAAAGGAATCACAACGATACACTGGGAGTCATAAGCTTTCAGACTGATTCCAGCACCCTAACAGCCCAGACAGAGGAAAAAGTTGGAAATCAGAGGCAGCACCGTTAGAAATAAGGGCTGGAACCTGGGAGCAGAAGGAACTGAGCCTGTTGGCAACATCCTTTGAGTTCTAAGTGAGAGAGAATAGCAGTAGAGGAGGGCAGGGGAGGGTAGGCATGAAGGGAGAGTTGAGCGCAGTTTCTAGGATGCCATTCCAAGCAGGAATCCTCCAGCAAACCCTCCAGTCAGGATAACATTCTTCTTCAGAAATATGATCACCTAAGCAGGGGAGAGAAGAGCGAACAGTGTTCAACAGCAGCAAGTCACCCACCCGCCCTCCCTCCCCATAAGACGACATCCCTCAGGCTGCTCTCCAAGGTTAGTGATGCTCAGAGAGAGGCCACTGCTCAGGTCTGGGAAAGTATCCTACCTAATGACCTCCCCTCCCTTATCTCCCCGCTGCATGTACAGATCCTGAACTGATCCAGTCCCACTGCAGCCCGGATCCTCAGAGGGCTGCAGTCTGAGCCTATGTGCTCCAGGGCTCTCTCACAACCAGCACAGTTAATCTGAAAGAAGGGGCTGCTGACTGTGCATGCCAGACCAGGGTACAGCAAAGTCCAGGGTAACTAGGCCACTCTGCTGCCAGATCTGCTTAGCTTTTCTTGTCAGACTGAAGAGACTTCTCCCCACAACCCCAGCACATTTTCTCCCAACCCCAAGGAATTTGCAGCAACACATGGTGAACTGGCGCTGCGCCTAGAAGCCGCCCTGGCTGTCTTAAATATGCATAGATAACTTTGCTATATCTCCAGTTTTGCTGTCATGCAAGCATTCCCTCCTTGTATTTGCACAATGGAAGATCCATAACAGCCCAGAAGTCAATCCCATTTTCTGCTGTCCCTCAAGCTAAGCACCTGCACACAGCCTGGGAGAGTTGTCTCACCTCATCCACTCTGCTTTTCACTTCTGGAGGCATTTTGTTACCACTTCTGTGAAATTTCAGCTGCTGCTTGGCTTTGTTCACATCCCGTTCTACTAGCTTCCAGTCCACTTTGATGTATCCCGTGTGGTTTGCAATCTAGAGTTTTGAGGGGTGGGAAGAAAGTTCCTGGAGTGAAGTCCTGACCTAGCCATGGTCAATGGCTAAACAGACCACCTTGCCCACCCACCTTCCCTGACCACTGCCTCCTCCCACACACTGGTCCAGTAGGCTGAGCGGATGAGCACACTACCTTAAAAATTGGACAAAGGACCACCCTGCTGTACTAACTGTCCTGCAACATCTGTCTCCCACAGTAATCCCCTAACAGCAGGGCACACATTGCAACTTAGCCTGTTTCAGCCTCTATTCTCTAATGTAAAGCTGGCATCACCTCCCCCTCAAAACTGCCACACATATCATTGGGACTCTGCAGCTCTACTGCTGCTGTGGGTGGACACAACTATTAATAGCTTGCTCCTCTCTAAATATTTTATCTGGTCAGGATGATTCAGCAGTGAAACTCTCCTTGCTCAGAGTAAGCTTTTGGCTTTCAGCAGAAGAAGAAGCAGAGCCAGAAGAGCAGGGAGAAAGAGTCACACACATGGGCACCTCAGAAGCAAACAAGTAAGACTGCTGAGCGAGGCCTGAGAGATGTTCTGCCTCCAGCAGGATTTACAAGCTACATGTCTACATCCAAGCAGCTCCCCTCAGTGACAGGGGTCTTGAAAACCTGGAGAAATGGTTGAGGACAGAGATCGATCTCCATTTCTCTCCTCTTCCCCAGTGCTTTGCAGAGAGCCTCATCTGTGCTGGCCTGACTCCTCAGGTAGCCAGGCTGACAAGAAGCATATCATAGACACGGACAAATCCCCCTTGGCATCCAGGGCTGTTCCTCCAGGGACACCATCTCCACAGGCATAGGATTAAGTACAGTAGCCAGTTCTGACCATACAATCCTGAAGCAGGAGCACAGTTTGCCGCATCCAAAGGCTGCCTCCTGCTTCACTCAGGTGCCCCTGCAGTTACAGCCCTCACATGCCTTTGGCCTGGCCTTTGTTAGCAGACTCTAAGTGGATAGCACCTTTGTGGCAATCCTTAAGTTTATGCACACTGATCCTGCTTTGCTGCTGCATCTATGTACCCCAGGGAACACACACACTTGACAGCCACACAGAGTTCCTGGCAGAGCAGGGAACTGGCCCCATACATCCCACCAGGTAATGATCACTAGACAGCCCTTCATCCCCACCAACGCAGTTCTTGGAAAGCCACTGTTCATACATACCTGAAGTAGGAAAAAGCCACCTCCCACCGCTGTCGCTGCAAGCTTTCCAACTTTCTGGAAGATGAATCCAGTACACCTATAAATCAGGCAGGATCCAGTCAGGAGAATGAGACGCCAAACACACACTCCTCAGCATGCTTCCCACCGGCAAGGCTGCCTTTGGCAGTAATTAGCTAAGACTCAGAGACAGCCTGACAAAGGGCAGAAGAACCCACGTGCAACCACAGAGAAAGGATTTGCACCTAGCCAAAAGTGATGCTTTATAGCTTTTTACTTCTCACTATCACCTTTCAGCCTTTTGCAGTATTAATTCTTATCTCTTCAACATCAACCTTCTCCCAAAAGAGAAACACATGATTTCACCAAAATCAAGTGATTTTAGCCTTTTTTTTTTTTCTAACTGGTGTCACCTCTGAAGGGAAATTAGGCAGCACATCTGCTGCTGCTCCTCCATGATAGAGCATGGGGAGCAGATCACAAAGCAAGCTTCTTTGTTACACAAACAACTGCTTACTTTTCATTTCTCAGAAGAGAAAAATACTGAAACAAGCAGACGGCAGCTATACTCGTCTCCAAAATGAGTTACACACTCTCAACATGAAAGACATAACTGCAGCCACCAAAACTCAAGCAAGTGCCACCCCATTGCTCAAGTCATGCAGCAAAGGGCTAGTGTATCACTTTGCTTATCAACACTGTAAAACAACACAGCAACCTGCTCTTACCCATTTCTGAATACATAAGCTTAGTGAAGATACAAGTGAGAGATGGCCAGCTCATATTTTTGTCAGAAAATGAAGATGTCATACATTTTTAAATGCTCATCCCTGTGCCAGACGAAGAAGATAGGCACAGCAAGAAGCAAAGCAATGTGATTACACCAAGTTTTCAACTCAAACAATGCTTCTGTGGGAATGAAGTTGCAAATAGAGCCACAAGCCACCAGCACTTGCTACAAGTGACACAAAACCCCAGGAACCATGTCCACAGGTGCAATAAACCACCTCCACAGGAAGTTTCTGTGCAGATTCCTGAAGCACATCCACCTCCAGAGAAGAGGGTATCCTTGTTCCAAGAGGCTCATATTTGCGTGTCCTAAATTTACCACCACCACTTTATGCCAGAAGTTAAAAAGAACTATTCTCACCTCAAAAACTAAAGCCTGATACCATTTTCTTCCCTAGGAGATAGTCTCAATTTTCAGCTCCAGGTTAGAGACAGCTTTTAAAACCTCCCACAGTTCAGCAGAGCATGCCAGGGCACAGTGGGATGAGCAAGCTGGACACCCGCCTTCTCTGAAAGACTGCCAGATGACCACCCTGCACCTGTCAGTGTGTTCCCAAAACTCCAGCTAGTGCCCACAGCCGTCCTGCCTGCCATGAGCAGCAACAGCAACCCCAGCGCATCTTACCATCCCGTGACCCCTCCGATCACCAGCTGTGTGGCCACGTTGTATTTCTCAGCACTCGACCCTGAGCTGGGGGCGAAGACCTTGCGCCACCAGGGCCTGTTCTTGGTGTACTCTGCCAGGTCCAGCACGTTGAACGAGTCCTCCTTCACACCTGCAGGCACCTGGAGAGGCTCAGTGCCAAGTCTGCTGTCCCACAACCCCCCGCCAGCTGCCCAGGGCCTCCCCAGGGACACGGGACCCTCACCCAGTCACACGGCCCAAGAGGCCTGGCACTCCCCCTGGGCTTTTGGGAACCCCCAGGCCCCACGCTCTGCCCCGAAGGCCTCCCAGACCCCCTCGGACCCCGTGCTCGGGACCCCTTATCCCCCTCGG